GCTACTGATCCCTGTAGAACCTCACTGGAGGCACCCAGTGATGATTTGGGGGATTTTTACAAATAACCAGTTATTAATACTTTTAACATTTGTTTTTGTCATATTTTGCTACTTTTTTAGTTGGAATATGGTGCAGTACTGCATGAAACACCTTATAAATGTCTTACCTTGGCACCGTTATCTTTTATACCTTATTATCTTATCAAAGCATTACATCAGGCTTGTTTGCCAAGACCTGTTTTCCATAAAACCAAATTGAGCATCATTGAAAACATGGAAATATAACTGATTCTTCAACTATTGAAACCTGTATCAGTTTTTCCATTATCTTGGAAAAGTTAACTCACCGAGATGTCCTGGTCATTCTGTTTGTCTCTTTTGGATAATGGCACTACATTCATGTTTCCAGTGGGTGCAAGATACCCAGGCCTCCTGATTTAAAATTTTAATTCCTAGTAGGTTTTATTTCCAACTTCCTCTTCTGTTCCTAATGGACTGAAAAGCACTTTGCCATCCTCGCATAAACATACATCATTGTAATTGTTGCTAAATACAGAACAAAAATATTTGGGGTGGTTTTTTTGGTTTTATGAATAGTTATCATCTCCATTTAGTACTGAGCCTATGGTATTGTTAGTCACTACCACTGTGTAATGCAAAATCAGCCAGATGGCCATCTGTTTTGTGCAGAGGTGGTCTCTCAGAAAATGTTCTGATTTTAGCCTTCTGGTCTGCAAAACTTGTTTCCAAAATGAGGTGTTTTAGGCATTGTGTATAACACAACATATCTTAGTACTGGAGTGAGCTTGAGCGTGCCCTGCCCACCCAAGTCCCCTGCCATGTTCCAAACTAAATGCATCAGTGAGGATGTTGAAAACTCATCCGTTTGTGCCTGCTCTTAACTCCTTGAGGTCTGGCAGGCCCTCAGAGTAGAAACAAGCCTGAAGCTGCAGCATTAGTGAACTTTCAGATCTGGAGCATGCCTGTGGATTCAGGTAAGCAGTGGTCTCAGGTTTACCAGTACTGGGACATTTTGCTGCTGTGTTAAAGTCTAGACTGTAGAGCAAGGATATTGAATTCATCTTGTTCCTTGGAGTGGATCCAGACCACATGTCTCCTTTTAGGCCAAATGGCTCCAGGGTGTGAGGGCTTTTTCACACAGCCTTTGCTTGCCTTTCTGCCTCCAGTGGTCATGCCCACTTAGATGCTATATAGCTCTGATTAGTTAATATGTAAGGAGCAGATCTACCTAGTCTTCTGTGTGACTTCAGACTGACACCGCTTAACTATCTCTGTCTGCCCATGTCTACGTAAGCCATAGGGGCCCATATTCTGTGGTAGGCCACACCAACCACTAACCACTTCCTTAAACTCTTGCCCACCAGTAGCTCAGTGGGCCAGAGCCAGCCTGTGGGTCAGATGCTTCAGCTCACGAAAGCTTGTGCCATATATTTACATCTACTTTGGTTATTTTATAAAGTGCAAGTCTACCCTGCCTTCTCCCTGATTTCAGAATAACACAGCCAGCTACGTCGTTCAATTACATACCCAGAACTCTGCATTTTTGGAGGCTATGTCATGTTTTGTCATCTACCGTAGAATTGTAGGGTTGGAAGGGACCTCAGGGGTCGTCCGCATAACCCCCACTATACAAACACAAGATCCATTATTCCTATGCTATCCCAGATGAATGTTTTTCCAGCCTCTTCTTTGAAACCTCCAATGAAGAAGATTCCATACCTACTCTGTGCACCATAGTCTACTTTCCTGCTAGTATGGCAGTTTTTTCTGCTTCTATTTTCTGTGCTTAGATTGCAAGGATCCGCTTTTGCTTATTGCCTTCAAGGTGGTGTCTACATATTTGAGACTTTTTATAATGGGCTTAGGTTGCTGAGTTCCTTTATAGTTCAAACCTGACTAGAAGTTTTGAGGACTGTGATATTTTGAGGTACATAGTGAAAATGGACTATTTAGTAGGGGTATGTGCTCAGCACCTACTTGGAAAACCAAAAAGCCCTTAACGGAGGATTTCTGTTCTGCTTTCTAAAAGGTACTCAAGACCTTAGAGTGAAAGCCTGAGGAGCTACCACCTCAAAGCAGTAGAATAGGGGACACATTCTCCGATTGATTCTATTAACAAAACAAAACACCACAACAAAGGGACAGTTTTCATATAGTTTATCTGACTAAAGTTGGTGTGTAAAAGTGCTCACTGAGAAGCATATCTAGAATCCAGTCTATGTGGGGAGGAGGTAAAAATTGGAAAAAAAGTTAACTTCTGGGTATGCTGTGGTGACATCTGTAAAGCGAGTGCCAAATGAACCCCTGCCCTCAGGCATCAGAAATGTCCTGTTGCCTAGGCTGATGAGCTTAGCAATTATTTTTGGGACAGCTGGCAAGAGAACCTGAACTACTGTACAGTTCTGTGTTGCAATTGTAAGCAAAGTGAGGGGTAAGGTTTCAGGGAGGTGGAAAGAGGTGTTACTGTCCCAAATATTTGTGTCCTGCTGGAACAAATTCTATTTATTCTTGGCCCTAGAACCTAGCAGATGAGCGGGCATAGGAAGCATCAGCTGTTTCTGGGTAGAGACCAAATGAGTGTTAGGGTAGTGAGAGCTGTTGCTGGTTTCCATTCAAGTTGCAGTATGAAAAGCTCAACTCTGCTTGGATGCTTGTGACACCAGTAGCTTTCCTTCCCTATTGAGGTGGGAGGAAAGGCTTTATGTCCCTGTCCCCACAGCCTGACAGGAAGAGAAGAGGGTGGATTCTAACCCAGGAAAGGAATTTGGGAGGACAGCTGCACTGAAACATTTCCATAGTCAAGCAAGTTATGATCATTCTATTGTATACAGAAGTGCTGCAGAAAACTATCCCTGGGGCAGTTGCTGTAGTAGCACAAATGTGAACTCGCCCTTCTCTCATCTCTTTGGGATAAGAATGTAAGTGGTGCAGTTCACTTTTTTTTTAAAAAAGTAACAAAGTAGCTCTCATAGTGCCTCAACAAAAGGAAATATCATTACTGAGGCACTGAGTGATGATGGGACTTGCCCAAGGTGACCAATAGGCCAGTCAGTTGCTGGGTCTGTGTCCCAATCCTGTCCTCTGTCTTTTAAAGTAGTTCCAAAACTGATTTGTAGAACACTGATGGTTTGAGGAACACTGGTTGCATCTTCCTTCATCCCCTTTGAATTGTGCAGTGGGTAACAAGAGTGTCTGCAAGAAATGTTGAGGGTTGACATTGGTCCCTTAGCCCAAAAAGTCAGAAATACTTCTGGCTTCTTAAAATGTTAAGCAAGGTCCCTGCTTAAGGGAGTGTACAGTGTAAAGAGATGCTATGCCGTAACTTTCTGTTAGACATTTTGCTTGATTGTTTTATGGTGACAGTGGATGCATACGCAATAGGATATTTGAATGTTTTGATCATTACTTTTGAGAGTTGAAAGGGATACTCTGGTGGAACTTGATCTGTGGTATAGGATTTTTTTTAAAATAGTTTGTCTTTACAAAGCCTAAGGCTGGTGGTGTTTTTGCTATTTATTCCCCTTTGCTTGTTATAAATACACGTGCCTCAGATTTGGAAACTGCAGGTCAGGGATTGTGGAGTGTTCTGTATTTGTACTGCTGTCATTGCGGAAACCCAGTCCTGGTTCAACTCTGGTGGTGTTGGTGATGGTGGGTGGTGATGATTACATAAGTTCGTGAAAACATAAAATATGAAGTTAACTAGAGACAATCCATTGTCCAAGCTGAGAGAAAAGGAAAAAGTAAACTGCTTGATATAAGATACTTCAAAAAGTTTTTTTTTATAATTGAAAGCTGTGATAGAATCCTTAAAATTGTAACTTACCAAGATCTCTTTGATTAAGAAGTTGTTCCAGCGTATATTGCATTTTGTGTGTGTTTCTTCAGTTCTCACAGCTATGGTTATATGCATCATTAAAAAGAGTAAAGGTGCATGACCTTTTGTGTGTTGGTTTATTTTGTAGTACTCGTCTGCAGTCATGAAGGAAGCAGCAGAAGATGTGGTGGACAAGGAGACCTCCTTTCAGGTTCCCTTGGAGTTTTAGCACATTGGGCATTTCTTGCTGGACCAGAAAAGACAAATGGGTATGATTGCATTAGTGACTCCTCTTCTCAGATGAATCCATTATTGTTATGGCAACTGTTGCAGAAATGCTGGTAGGAAACTCTAAAAAAAAAAAAAAAAAAAAAAAAAAA